ATGAGGAACCCTGATGCTCAGTGTGGAGCACCTCTGAATGTCCATGAGAGCTGAGGACTGGCAAGCTTCAGAAGAAAGCTGCTCAGTAATTCTAGCAAAAGCACAATTCTTTTGGTATCCCTGCATCAGACTAGAGTCATGGCACAACAGATGCCTTTGCAAAAAAAAATTTAAAAGTTAAAAAAATGCAAAAGCATTTGTATACACTGAGATACAAACATCACCTAACTTTGGTCAGCTTTTTATTACTGGTTTCTGTTCCACTGTGCAATTCTAACCTATGACCTAGAACAGGCTCCACTTCCAGTGACCCCACCAGCCCTGCTCAGAGTGGTGGGGAAAACGCAGACAGCAGTGGGCAATACTCAGTGCATTGCAATGAACAGGCTGGGCTCCTGCCTCACCTCCTGGTCCCTGTCTCTCTGGGCAGACTGAAACCGAATTGGTAGTTTCAACATGCAATTTGCATGGCTGCAGCACCCCACCACATGGGTGCAAGCAAGAAATGTCAGTATGTTTGGCTGATTTGGACAAAGCAAGGAGCCACCACTGTCTCCACAATCTCAGTATAAGCACCTGCTTTTTTAGGACTAAAGTAACCTGCAGTGTTGTATCTTTATTTTCTATTTTTCAGAGTTCCACTTTTTGCTAACTCTCTTTTCTTCACCCTTTCAGAGGCTCGATATATTCATAACCTGGCCTCCCATTGTAAGGAAGGAGAAATTAACTTCATCAGCCTGCTGTGGTCACCTAGGCCACCTAGTAAAAATGACACGGACACGCAGTTAGAGGCATGGAAACACCACGCTGCCTGCCCAGCAGTTCAAAGGTGGCCAGGCAAGTCAAGCATACTCAAAAGTGCTTTAGCTCCACAAACAAATATGCAACAGTAGGCAACAGTTACATTCGCAGGTAAACCAATAGAGAAAGTCTTTCCAGTCATTTAGCATGGAATAGTTGTTTCCTCTTACTACATAAACCGCCACATTAGTCTGACTTAGCATTGGTTTACAGGAAGTTTAAGTTAAGAATGATGAGACATCTTCTGCTTCACATATGTCATTACACAATACAAGGGGAAATATGCAACACAACTTTAAAGGTCCTATGGAACAATAATAGTTTCAAATTGCACTGGTCTTTACATCTGTTATCCAGTGACATTTCCGCACATCCCAAAAATGAGTTACCATACTTAATAAAAGGAACCACATAAATCTCTTTTATCACAGAAAGACGAGCAAACTCCTGACATTGCTTGGTTTGCTGAGTTTTCATGTGTTGATCAAAATACATTGTGTGGTTTTATTTTAAAGGTTTTTGTTGTGTTTTCTTAGTCTGAGAATAACAAAACAACATTACCACAAAGCAATAAAAAAACCCTGAATACTTAAAGGACTTAAGTCGAATTAGTTATTCTGCAGAATAAGAATCTGATTTGCGAAGAGATTAACTAGGAACTGTTCTAAGCAGCAAGAATGAAAACTCAATGTATAATGCCAAGCAGCCTGCTCAGGTTTCTATGAAAACAAAGAACATAAAACAGGGACACCAGCTTAGATTACTACATACAACCACATAAACACTACTACAATGTAAACATAATTTAAAAGAAAATAATAATTGAATGCATTTATCAACATTGTATTTAAAATATTAAATTTCCAGTTTCTTCCAGATAACTTCTCTTATTCAAATATAAATTGATAACCTCCTAAAATAACAGAATGCTAGTTTTACGAGGCTGTTAAACATTGTTGTAATTTTTCTCCTACAAAGAGTGCAGAAAGATTCATTGCAATGTGGAATGCTTCTTAGCAAGAGTATTTTTTTTGCCAGCAGTCTATCTCAAGAAAAATAACACAAGCCTTTAGAAATATCAGGAAGTATCTCTCACTTTCATTTCATTTTTAGATCTGAATAAAATATACATCAGAAACTTGTAGAAATTGTATTTGGAAGGAAAAATAAAGCTAATGCTAAGTAGATCTGTTGTGTATTAATTTCGAATGAACTAGGCTTTCTCAGTTTACAGACCATTTTACATGTCAAAAAATTATTAGAATCAAAAGAAATTTAACTATAAACATTGCATCCCAACTGTTTCAAATCTGAGTTTCAGAGAACTTTACAGACACAATTCTGAATGCCATAAAGTACAGAGCGGAAGAGAAGTCAAGCCAAACTGAAACAAACGTTTTCTTCAAAATAACTCAGTATTTGCATTTTTAGGCTGGCAACTTTTCCAGTTCAAGATTCTAACTTTGCATCAACACCTTAAACAATTTATGGGTTGGCATGACTAGCTGAAGACTGCAGCTTCCAGGATGCATGAAAGGGAAGTGCCGTTTCTCAACTATAAATGCTGTTACGTAGTTAGCTTTGACTATAAAGCAGGAAGATAATACCTCTAGCTTCTCATTGTGAATATGTGCCTGTTGTCTGTCCATTCTTTTGAAGAAATACTGAATATTTTAATACCACTCTTTAAGAGGCAGTAACACCATGCAGTGTGAGCTATACACTGCTTCTGTCATAGTCAAAACTACACAGCAGGCTTTGCTGATGGCCTCATATACCAGGAAAACAGAAATCTCTGAAGGATGTAAAATGACAACTGCTAAGCCATCAAAACATTCTACAGCCTAGGTTGAAAAATTCAGGTTTTAGTGGTGATACTCTTTAAACACATCAATCAAAACAGTTAACATATGGCAGCTTTGGATTTAGTAACCGTCACCTCCATAGCAGCATTGATCTTAACAGCAATGTACTGAATTTAATTTTAACCAGAATCCCTTGTCTTCCTCTTCTTAAAGTGCACTTCTGTAAAAACTGAAAATCTTCAGCAGTCTCAAGTTTGATAATCTTTTCCAACAACAGCTTCATAACAGCACAGCACAAAGCTTATTCTCCCAATGCTTACTGGAGGATGAATCTGAAGATGTGGTGTTTTTATTGGGGAAAAAAAAAAACCCAAACCTGAAACAAAATAAACCCAGCTTCCTGTTCAAAACACATGAAAAAGAAAGAAGAGTGTGCTATTAAGAAAGTTGCCTACACACTGGGAGCACAATGAAATTTATACAGATCTATATGCTGTGCTCTAGTTAGAAATTCAGCCTTGCTCAGATATCTAAAGGATAAATGTTATCCTCAGATTTCTGTGTAAACCCACATAATCATTTAAGGCTTTGCCTCCGTTCTGGATTAACTATTGTACAGTTAACAGAAAGAGTTTCACCTCCTGTCTTTCACCCAGGGGGAATATCGACTCTCCTGTCTTTATCTCCAGTGTATCATAAGAAGTCACTAAACAGTTGTGTTTCCAGAGCAGTGTCGCTTCAAGGTACTGATGCAAGATGAAACTTACTCCAGTAGATAGAACTGAGTATCCAAACACCGTAAAGAAGCTGAACTTCCAGTTAGAAAGTTAAGTCAACTCTTATCGGACAGAGCACAATTTTTACCCAGCTGAAGAAATGTTTACCAATCGTTTCGACTGGCCATCCTATTCAGAAGAGGTGAAGCGGTGGAGCATGCTCCTCGGCATCATGCTGGTTACTGAAGTGAACAAACACATACAGCTCAATAGAGAAGAGTAGTTTGGAAGGAAACACCGCCACACAAATATGAAATCTCTTAGCCATCAACAACAACAAAACAAACCAAGGGGCTGGGGTTGTTTCACATGGCAACAGCAACGAGCGTGAACTGGATATGTGGGAAAATAAAACTACACAATATAAATTTCCCTAGTCATTCTATGTATAGCCCATTTCTCTGTACACACTCTCGTGTAATGATGAATGCAAGAAAGCTGAAGGGGCACCAGAGAGAATATAAGTTTCTCTTCCCTTGAAGTGCCTCCACTTTCCTATCGCCGCAGCACTTCCGCTATCACTGCTCCTGAGTGCCCTCTGTTGCATCTGGTGAAGACTTGTCTGTTTTCTTCGACTTCCTCTGCAGTTGCTCTTGTTCTTTCTTCCGGAGCTTTTCCCTTTGCTTCTCCATTTTCTCTTGAGCTTTGCGAGCTTTCTCCAAAGATGCTTTCATTTCCTTTAGCTTTTTTTTAATGATTGCTCTGTCCTGGGAAGATGTCATACCAAGAGCCTGAAGTGGGGAAAATAAAATAAAAAAGAAAAAGAATTTTAAAAAAGAAAAGCGAATTTCATACGCTTTAATCTATCACCAAATTTTTTGTGTTCTTATAATAACTCTTCATAGGTAGAAGTCTAGCACAACTAAGCAAATCTGAGACAAGCTCAGATATATTCCTGAAGCTTAAGTAATAATATTTTATACTTCTCTACTACTTTTCATGCTTTCCATTTCTACAATATTAAAAACTTAGATCTCATTGCAACCACTGTTTGACTATGTTGATTTCATTGTTCAAATGAGCCAAAGAAAAATTAAACTATTTGCCTGAAGAAATCTAAGTCTACACAGAACAAGACTTCCCAATTCTCACTGCTATGCCTTAGTCAAAAGTTCACTTGCTCTTCTCTAGGACCCCTAGAGTTAGTGAAGTGCCAGCAAAAAAAAATCAGAAAGGCAACTTTGACTTTCAGATATGCTGAGCCTCCCACAACTCCTTCCTGTAATTATTTTTGACAAAAGTAGGCTCATATTTTTGCTACAAGAAACAATGCATGCTTTATACATCAAAGGTGTATTTAGTTCTAAGACAGTACAGTTGGTATCCAGCTTCTGCCTTCAGTATCCCAGTAATCCATTTTTCAGTTGTTACTTCTGATATATTTCTATTTTCTATCTTCCCTGAATCACTGTTTCGCAAAACAGAGCTGGATGAGAAATATGTGCATGCAAATACCACTTACACATGCTGCTATGTGCAAATATGGGTGAATTATATACACCCAGAGTTTTCACAAAGCAAATGCCCTCTGTTTCTGAAGCTTCTGAATCCAAGTGCATATGGGAATTTCTTAAACTGTTGCTGTGGCTTTATACTATGTGTTTGTTATTCTAGTCTATCACCACTCCAGGGATTCACTGCCTTCTGGATGAATGCCTACTTCCTTTAAGATTATCTAAAGTGACAACAAATACTACAGTTAGTCTTGCAGTTGTCAGTCAATTACCTTGAGCTTACTCCCATCCAGCTGAAGGAGATGCTCCCCATTAATGTTTTGGGCACTGAATTCAGAAACATACTGTTCAAGGTTCAGGCTCATTAACCAGTGGGAAACCTGCTGCACGCTCCACTCCTGAACAGCACGACTCTGACACTGACTGTGTTTGGGAGACTGTCCATCGTCAAGGATCTGTGACAAAAACATGCTGCAGTATTATTAAAAGCATAACAGGGACAAGTAACAACATTTTCCTGTACAAATCACCAGCATCAGGGCAGAGCTATTGGTACTATCTTTACACTACAATAACAAGAATTTCATACCACTATATTACAACTGTATCTAACTAGATATCTAAGAATTGGTACAAGGTACCCAAAAAGTCTGCTATCTATAAATAGAAGAAAAAGGAACTGTCCAGATGGCACAGTTCAAAACAGCTATGCTCCCATTCCCTCGCAAGATTTTTATCCTTCAAATTAGAACGTTCTAAAGGATGCAATGAATTCTGCATTCCACTTCCCAGGCTCATTCACAGATCTTTCTGATGTGTTTAAGCTGTAAAACAAGAAAATCAGGGGAGAAAAACCCCTCAGAAAACCACTCAAAAGTTCAAAGTGATGACATTAAACAGCCAGTGAGACTGGTACTATCTACGGAGGACTATGAGATGACACAGAGGAGCGGTAAGGAACACACAGTGATCCCACAGCCCTGGCCCTGCTCTCATCCCATTGGGGTGCTGCGGAGAAGGAGAGCACAAACACAGCACCAGGAGGGGCAGCTGGGGCGTCAGCTGCTGCGGGCAACCCTGTGTCCCTGCTCTGCCACTTTATTCCACCCAGGGGTACGCCAATGGGGCTTGAAACAAAAGCTACTCTGTCCTAGCCGTGGTCAGCAAAGCAGCTGCTACAGGCTGCAGCAGCTGACTGTTAGAGCAGCTTTTACACTGTGTTAGATGATGCTGGGAGCTCCCTCAGCTCCTGGCTGTCCAGCTCTCAGAGAAGGAGAGAAAAGCCAGATCAAGCACTATCTTTTCCTTCCTCTGTCGCCAGCAGGAGCTCATTGCAGCTGATGTTTGGCCTGGTGGATTTGCTTTAACACTGACTCTCCTCTCCCTTCCAGCATACAGCAAAAACTGCAATTTGCTGTGGCCTTGAAAGCTCTTAACAGAAAGGAGAGAGGAACTGAAGATGAGGGGAGCCAGTGACATCTGCATGTTCTGCTCGAACAAGGGGGTTTGCCACAGAACACCGTAAAACAAGAAATGTGAATCTGCAAATGAGACGATACGTTGCCACGCGATGGTCACACGATTCACCACAACAGCACACTAGTATCTCACCTCATCATCAATCATATCCAGGCTCTGAGTGAGGGAGCAACAAAGAAATGGGAGAGAAAAGCATTATAGAAACAAAATACAGAACATGTAACAGCATGTAAAAGTTCAGGCAAGGGCAGCACCAAAATTTGCAAACAGATATGGCTATTCAAAACCAAAGAGATTTCTTTAAAAAAAATTATTTCCAGAAGCAAAGAGGCTATGTTGAAAGCTCAGCACACACATGATTTGGCAACTAAACTTGAGACTGTGTCAATGAAACCCCCTTGGAGTTCCTTGTCTTGACACCCTAGAACTGGTGGGAATCTTCCTGATGGCTCCAGGAGGAGCAAAAGCTCCTTAATTAGAGGAGAACAGCCTGCAACAACTGGGTTCCCTCCCCATCCTTTTGTTTTTTTTTAATCTCCTTCAAATAACCATGTCATATCTGCCCGAGGCGCCTGAGCAAAGGAGCACTCGCAGCAATACGCTGTGGAAAGCTGAAGAGCAAGGCTGGCCAAATCCCCTGCCAGGGAGGTTGTGGAGGTTTCCACTGCAGCTCTGGCTGAACGTGGTGCCGGGTTTGGAGACTGCAATCTGGCACACAGCAGAGGATGGAGAAAACACATTCCTTTTTATAGACCTGTTCAGGCTTGATATTTAAGAATGGATAGAGAGCTGAACAAGCAAAATGAAAGCATTTTTCAAGCTTTTAATTCAACTCTAGTGGAAACAGGGCATTATCACAATAAAATACTATAAGGGAATGAAACATGGCAAGAGAATGAAATGTCTTATCAAGAGAGTATTAATACTAAATAAAGTATAAATGACTTTGTTGTTTTCAGCAATTGACAGAATACACACTCCTGTCTACACTCTCCTATGATTCTTACAAATTTTTGCCCCTTATAACTTCTGAAGAGTGGTTGGTGTTGCAGACTTGCATTTTGGCAAATGGGGTTGCATGCAACAGCTCTCATTCTTTACACCCATGTAAAGCATGCAGGCAGTAACAATACAAACCTAACTATCATAAAAAAAAAAGACACAGATATTTCAAATTCCTCCTCTCTAGAAAAAAACCTGTCTCGAACCCCACATAAAAAATGTGACATTCTTGCTGAGTTTTTAAGAGAATAAAGGCACAGGTTTCCCGAGTCCACAGGTCACATTGTCAGCTTCTGTCAAATTGTGCAGCTTCACTGACAACCAAGTTACAAAACCAGTATCTTAAGAAAAGAAAAGTATTTTCAATATATTGTATTTGGCTCAATTATGTCACCAATTTACAGGGTTAGGAATGCTTTTTCACATTATCATTGCTCAAAAAATCTCTGGTTTGAAGTAACTGAATTCAAATCTACTGTGTGAAGTAAGCGCAAAGAGAATGAGAAGTGGATTAATGCATATACATTCTAATCAACATATATACATTCAGGTACAGTAATACACAATTATTGTGTGTACAGTTCATTATTATTTTAATGTACCATGGTAAAAATTAAGTCTAGGTGAAGGTGCCTTACATCTCAATTATATTTACCAAACTATACTGTATCTTTATTATCTCAAAATTGTCTCAATTATATCTGTTTTAGTGTATGTATGTGTGTGTGTGTGTATATATACATATATATATAGGTCCACATGTAAATATTTAGAATGTAGGAAAAATGTATTGAAATGTGTGAGGATATAGCATCTCTTAGGAAACCAACTGCATTCTACTTTCCTACAATAATACCACAGGACCTTTATTTCAAGTAATTATTACATGAACAAGAAAAATTATAATTTAGAAACCAAGACTAATTTTCTTCTCCCATTCTACTGCCTAAAAATATCCCTTTATTATTTGAGTAATTATCAAGCAAAAAGCCATGAGAGAAAGAAAACAACTATTTCCCACCTTAAACAATTTCATCAGCATACCTCATCTGATGACAGTGCTAAGGAGTGAGAGAAACCAGAGGTTTTAGGTTCTGCTCCCAAACCGCTCAAATCCGCTGAACTTGTGCTGCTGGGACTGAAATCATCATTGAACGTGAAGTTCTGTGGAGAAAAAGATGAGTTAGAATGAACACACAATCTTATATGGGAATCTAAAAGGGAAATTTGCTTTCTTGTCTTCCAGGTTGGCATAGTTCAGGAGTGATTTCAATCATTTACCAAACCAGCTACAATAGACATAAGCAAGCTTATTTTTTAGTATTGTTAATATTGATAGAATACACAGTATTTTTACCACTGTGTACTTCAAGAGACACCTTCGCCATCTTAATGCTTCAATGAACAGCAAAGGGGACTGAAAGCAATTTCCAAACCCCCTCTTAAGATACTGGCTCTCATTCTGGAGCTAAATTACTGCTCACTTGGGCTAATCACTAGCATTTTATTACTGTCCTCCAAATGTTTAGGACAAGCATAGCACAGGCAGTAGCACAAAGAATAGGACAGAGGATTAATTAGCAGAGAGAAGTGAATGTTGCTATTGAAAGAGCAAGGAGATTATCCTGTGAATCCACTTCTGAGTCCCAAATAATCTCCTAGAAAAGTGAAAGGATCTTGCCTCTTTGCCTATACCTTTAGAAAAAACTGAAATTGAAAGTAAAAGAGATCTTTGGATATCGAATGTTATTTACTGAAATAATAACCATAAAACAAACACTGTTTTTTCTTAACAATGCAATGACAGACATGACACCTTACAGCAAAGAATAGCAAAAGCATGCACATATTTTCCAGGAATACAGCAAAATTACCATCAGAAGAAGACAAAAGTTAACAAGTATTTCACATTAGAGTGAGAACCATAAAAAAACAAAATCTAAAAAAATTAAGGACACTGTGATACTCCATTTAAATTGAATATATAGTTGATGATACGGAGACCTCTAGTCATTACTCTAATCTAACATCTAAATGAATATTAAACTCAATTCACATTTGATTTAAAAAAATGGATCCAAACATCAAAAGCAAAAAACACTAAAAAATGTATCCTTTTATCTCCCCCCGCCCCCCTCCAAATATTTGTCTGTCTTTCCTGAAAACAAGAAGTCTTAAAAAATATCAAGTGTTAGTCCTCTTAGTTTTGATTGAAATCCAACTAAATATTGGTATCACGCTGTGCTTTAAAAACCTCCATAGCAGTATAGGAACTGTTAATTTAAGAGCTTGCAAACTTTGCAGAGAATATAAAAATGTTTTTGTGATCAGTTTTCTCACACCTATGTTTAGAATTGCTGTTCTGCTTTTCCCATCTCTTTATAGAGAAGAAGAAAATCTGAGCATCTTCCTTAACATGCAAACTTTTAGCCCCCACAGCGTTCCTAGGCCAGGAGTTCAACAGCTCTACCTCCTGTTGTGTGAAGAATGTCTCTTTCTTTTTTAAGTACTCTGATTTTTCTTTCACTTCTCTTTTGTGCAAGCTTCATACTTTTTATTAAGTCTTTCAAATTTAATTTTCTATAGGAAAAACAAGATAGCCAAGGTCTGCTAATAGTTATGATAGCAGGACAAACCCCCTCCCCAAAACCTCAACCTAATACTAACTGTTAATGGGGTTGCTTTTTTCCTCATCTGAAAGTTACTTTCACACAATGTTTGTTTAGAGGCACAGATAAGATTTACATGTCTAATCTTCATCTTTCTTTTCAAAAGAAATCAGGTAACCTCTTAGTTTCTCTTTAATCTTCAGAGATTTCATCTGTGGCCTTCTCTATCAATCTGAGTTGGACTTACCAGCCTGGCATTGCTCTCCCTACCAAGTAACACAATCACAGCTACGACCCGGCATGGCTTGGTGCACAGCAGAAGTAAGGGATCATCAGCTTTTGGCACTAAAAGAATAAGAAATGCTTGTGGAAACTGCTATTATATACATGCATGTTTTTGTAGAAGACCAAGAAATCTGATTTCTGATTCATATTCCTGTACATAAAGTTGACAACCGTTATCTGTTTCTTCTTACCAGACCAATATAAAAAGTAAACTGCTACAAGTTATAAGAAAACACAGGCAGAGAAGTATTTTTCAGAAGTTAAAATAAACATGAAAAAGCTAAGTGTATTACTATAACTAAGGGTTATTTAAGGAGTTACCATGCTGAAACACTCATGCACATAGAAAGGAATCATACAGATGTATTAAATTGCAATAGCTCATATTTACAGTTCAAGCATCTTCATATATAGAATTAAATCCAACATCCAGCATGCATGACAAACAGATTTCATTATTGGGGGGAAAAAAAGCAGATGACTGACAGCATACAGCGTTTCTTCACTTGCAAACATGTCATTTGAACATGGGTAGGTATTCCCACAATCAGTCCTGAAGAATGCAGAAAATATCTATAATTGATAGATCTAGCATTTGTTCAGTGGATCCAAATGCTAATTTCCACTGGCACCACTTGCTTTTGTTACGGTACAGCACACCACAGTTAGTTTACTGAATTAATGTACATTAAGACAGAGTAAAAAGGTAGAATTGGGGATGGTACAATGACAGAGATGTTCTGTTTGGATGAGCTTTTACCATACAATGAACACCATGCACTGTTTATTGTAGTATTCATATATTGGCCTGTTCTTTTTCCAGAAACATGAAGCCAATTATGCCACTCAACACAGTGGGAATAAGGTAGTTTTTATTTTCTACCTTTGACCCTTTTTTAGCTGGACTTATATTTTCAGAGGAAGGTTCCGTTGAGCCGGTAGGCGATGGCAGGTTGCTAGAAGAATTGGATCCCTTGCCACTCTCTCCATACCATGTGAATGGTACACAGTGTGGGAGAGAGGAGGATCGCTCTCCTAAAGATTTAGTGTTTGCCGATTTCTGCAGCATCTCTCTGGCAGACCTGTTTAAGAGAAAGGAGCAAGAATATGTGTTACATTGCAAAATAAGAGAAAACAAAAGGCTACAGAGGCAGACAATTGTGAAAGGAGTGACATTCCCTGCAACTGTGACTAAAGAACTGAGTGGCATGCAGCTGATGGGGCCATGCCTGAAATCTCTTTCAGCAAAAATGGGTTAGTTTGATTCTTTTTCTAACTCAAGCTCTCTTAGATAACATACAGCCAGCAAATGGAGACAGATGCCAGCTGAAAATGCCTGTACTCCCACTGTTCATATGGGAACCAGCTCCAGTCAAGAAGCCACACCTTGTGTTGGTGCACTTCTGAGCCCCAGGGCTATCTCAGCATGGTTAAATGGATTAGACTCAGCACTGACCCAAGCAGTCTCTGGTTCCCAGGGGCCTGGCTTGGATTTGAGCACAGGCAGAATGAATCAGGTATGTCTGTATGGAGATGTGCCTTTGTTACAACAACTCAATACTGACAGAGTATTATTATCTTGATTTTAAAGTTATTATGTATTAAAATATTAATATAGAAAAATGAAAGAAACACCTGCGTGATATCATCAGCTTATCTCTTTGTAGTAGTAAAGACTGCAGTGGATAATGTGATCAAGGCAAAGGCAATGATTATCAAATAAAACACTTAAATTATTTGCTAAATATATTATGTCAATAGTGCAGTATGTAAATTAAAAGTAACTATGCAAAGTGTCTGCCTCAAAGAACTTATACATATGTCATATTCTCATATTTTTTAATTTCAACATATATATTACTGTTTCAGAGCATTAAACGTCTACTGCTCTTAGCAGAAACCTGTAAATTGCACATATGTAAATCTCCCCTCAACTTCTACCTTCTGGACAGCTTCTACATCATTATTAACATAATCACTAGGTCTTTGTATATTGTGAAGCCTCTTTTCAGTATGGATGAAACTGAGGATGTCAAAGGGCCCCCACCCACGGAAGCAGAAGCAGAATTCTACCTCTGGCTCCATAGAGAAAGTTAGATGCATCTGACCCAGTCCTGTATGCCTCCCTCATCCTCTAATCTTGCTTGAAAGCGGAAAGAAAAAGTGAATGATGTTGCCCAAATCACCTAGCCTCAGGCAGGGGAATATATGCTTCTTACTTAAATGGGATATTTTTAATAAATATATATATTACCAGTGGTAGTCTTAGGAAATAATTCAGGATTTTATTTACAGGCCCCGAGTGCTATTTTTTAGCAATTGCAAAATAATGGATGCAACACTCATCTGACAGTGTGATTAATTCTACATCAATCAGTTGCTGTAATGGATAGAATTATAACAGGATGCTGTCTTTTGATCATCTTCCTTTCAAAGAGGTTATACAGCTTTGGACTGTAGCAAAAACGTCCTCACACTTCTTCTGGAGCAAATTCTTTGCAGTTTGTAACAAAGGATTGGTGTTTAAAAAGTTATACTGAAATAATAACATTCCAGTTTACAGAGGCACAGTGAAAATTAAAAACGCTTATGAATTTTGACTTTGAAAGCAGTATTAAACTTTGCTTTTAGCCAACTGTATTGAAACTCAGAAATATTACTAACAATACAAATCACTGATTTATTAAAGGGTCTAACAATCAACTGATCTCTCTCTGCTTTCTCTAAGGAAGATACCTATGGGATCTCACAAACATCTGTAACATACTCAGTTGGTATATGGAACATACCAAGGTCTTACAAACAAGTGTATATTCAATTCCCCCACCCTGTGACTTGGTATTTAAATGCTACATGACATTTAATACCCTGCTGAGGGCACTAGCTGCCTTAGAGCTACACAGAGGTGCAGAGAATTTGCTTTAACAAATCTCTCCCTGTCACTATGGATATCCAGCAGGGAATATCACCAACTCCAAGGCACACGGCAAGCAGACACACCAGTGGAACCAACTGGAACAGGTTTTCTGACACCAGCATACAGGCGACAACTACTGCCTAAGATTACTGAAGATCCTGCCAGATACTTGCAGGATACAAATGTACAAATGTATGCTAAGACAGAACATTGCACTTGAGTACAGTGTGCCTGAGGGAGTAAGTCAGAAGTCTAAGGTTTCTTTGGCTTTTTTAGTGTTACAAAGCTACATAATATACTTGTCACTGAGGCTCTGTATATTAATTAGACTGTCAGCAAAACTCCACAAACGG